CATAACAGGTGGATACAGGACATTTTTTACTGTATCAGACTTGAAAAGTTAAGATGCTCACTCTCTGGTTCACTCAAATCCTTTTATAAGACTTGGGATCCCTTTTTGGACTATATTAAAGGACTACCTTGTGCACCTGTAACTGGCAACATGTAATGTTTGTCATCTGTTAGAAGGGATTTTTTTTTTTTTTACTTATATATTGGTTAATTATATCTATTTTATTTCATTTGTTATTGTTTAATTATTTATTTAATTTACTGTGTTTCTGTCTATCTGAGTTAATATGAATGGGGGGATTGTGGAAGGATTAATAATGGACAATATCCTACTGTTCACCTTGTGATCCTTATTTCAATCTGTATTGTCACACAAAATACCAATAATACCAACAAAAAATGGAGCTACAGATTGAGAAAGGAAGAAGTTGATAGATAAAAATCTAGAGCGTATCTATCAAGTGAATCAGCTCGGTATTAATATCTGAACGACTCTTATGTGCCAGTTCTTTTTTAGTGAATCAATAGTGCAAACAGTGTAGTCCTAGACAAATGACTCTGAAGAGTGAATCAAAACAGTGAATCAAAACAGACAGCGTGAACAATGTCGGCATCACAAAATACCGACTCTTTTGAGCTGGTTCTTTTTAGTGAATCAACAACATATTATTTAAAATGCATAATCTGATTCTCGAACAAATAAATCTTAGAAGTTGGTTCTTTTTAGTGAATCAAATATATATAGTGCGAACAGCGTAGTCTGATTCCTGAACAAATGACTCTTATGAGCCATTTCTTTTTAGTGAATCAAAACATACATCAGAAAAAAAACGGTGGTTTGAATCATAAAAGAATGACTCTTATGAACAGGTTCTTTTTTAGTGAATCAAAATATATAGCGCAACAATATAGTTTAGGCCTAATCCCCAAACAAACAACTCTTATGAACTGGTTCTTTTTAGTGAATCAAAACATACAGCTTAACTGGTATTAATATCTGAACTCTTATGAGGCAGTTCTTTTTTTTAGTGAATCAATGGTGCAAACAGTGTAGTCCCAAACAAATAATATTATTTAAATAATAAATAAATAAATGTAATATTACAGTTAGTCAGCCAATTTAGACTTCAACCATATTTCAAAAATCACACTCTACAGATCTCCAGTCATGCAAAAGTTGGAATAAACGTGCATGTATGTACAGAATTAACAGCCAGCACTCTTCACCATAGCCACTTTCCCTCCCTCTTCTTTTAAAGGTCAATAGGTCACATTCCTTATCCTGATTTGGGCCTCAGCTACAAACAGGCAAGCTAGGTTAGTTTGCAGTCGGGTTTCGGGCATCTGTACCAAACATGTTATGCTTAGTAGCAGGTAGATCACCCAAGTCATGAAACATCTGATGCAAAGATTGCTGGATCTGGTTCTTATGATCAAACATGCTGTGATGCTCAGCAGAAGAGACAAGGACCAATGTCCACTCCTCAATCCTGCCTCTAGCAATCGATGGCTGATGAGATAAAGGGGTGGGAAAAGTTTGGTCTCAGCACCTAAAAATCCTTTCATGTGCATTCCGTTGCACCTATGCTCAAGCCTCAAACAGGTCAGGATCAGGAAGGAAGGAAAAACAAAATTATGCACCAGCTCGGAGATAAACCATCCACAGTGTCTGAGTGGAGAAACACTTCAACTCCATTTTTGCTTCACCAACAAAAACAGTTCCAAACAAAGTAAAAATAGAATTAACTGTTGAATTTTTTTTGGGCAACACTCAGTAGTGGTGTGATACAGAATCAGTGTTTTTGAACAAATTAACTGAATGAATGGCTCAATGACTCACTTTTAAAGATATGCTGAATTTGGAGCCCCACACAAATTTTACAATTTCTGCCATATGAAGATATGTCACATGGTTCTGAAAGTATTTTCCCTTTCAGTTTTCAAATTGGGATTTTTAAAAATTGTCTTATGAACCAGTGATCAACCAAGCAAACAAGCTGCAAGGTGAATTGCGTCATTACAAACTTTGTCCTGAAGCAAAAAATTTTTTATAAAATCAGACAAAAACACAAAAGTACAAGACTGTGTCCTTAACTCCTTAAATGAGGACAGAACTATATAGCATTAATTGCGAATTACAATCAAATTAACGAGGGATAACTATAAAAGATCATTTAGATGTTCATTTTAACTGGTGGAGATTTCTTGCTCGTGCAAAAACAGGAATTATGCTGTTAAAAACTATTATTTCAAAAACAAGTTTAAAATAATGTTAGTGTCTTGATGGCTTCAATAAGAGCATACATTAGAATTAACAATCTCATAGTTCACATTTGGTTCGTTTTTATGTTTTCTTTAATTTCCCTGAGGAGAAAACGAATGAATTTTAGAAATAGCAAGAGTCAGTACAATAAATCAGTTGCATAATTGATTCAATGACTCATTCATAAAGACAGTCGGTTCTTTTTATTCCAGAAAGAATCAGTGATTTTGAACAAATCGGTTGAATGAATGACTCACGCAAACACAGAGAAGTCCTAGTGCTACTGGACTACATCATCACTTCTGGAACACTGCTAGACCAATCAAATTCAAGGACCGGAACTACTTGCTCATACTTATGGGTTTGTTTGAATACTTAAACATAACCGAAAACAGTGGGGGAAAAAATTCCACAGAACAACACTGAATGAGGGAACCGTGGGTTTTTTGCTCAAGGGTATGATGGTGATCAGGGTTCACGGTAATTCTCCATGAATCACCCATTCCTAAACCAGATCTTTAACCACCACCACCCTTCCCTGTGCTAAAAGCCTTGCCTAAATGTTTTACAAATGTACCATGAGTTTCTCATAAGAACATCTCAGCTACCCTCAGGGTACTGGCATTAGCAATAATTCGGCACAACCGATTCGATAATGACAACAAAGGAGTACTGACAGCTCGACAGATCATTACAATCGCTCTCAGGAAATTATGGGGGCAGTTTGAGCAAAACGTCTGATTTTCAAATGCAATGAGCACAAATACCTATCAAAGGGAGGTGGTGGACAGTGGAGAACCCTGAGAGCAAACCAGATGTACTACACATGACGGTACAAGATGAGAATGGAGTGGTGGAAAAAAAGTGGGTAATCTGTAAAAACTTATCTGCAATGTGTATTTGCATTAAATGTTAAGGAGAGTGTATAAAGCGCTAAATATAGCCTGGCGTTATCACACGAACTGGATACTGAGCCAAAGAATGGAATGGGACTCTAGAAAATACCCACAAGCACCACATTCTTTTAACGTTTGAGTTTGGGGCCAAAGGGCTGTAGGGTTGGGAGGGGTCAGGGTACGCCTGTGTGTTTTAATGGGGGTGTGAGATGCTGACAAATCAGTGCTCACCCTGTGGTCAGGTTACCACCACAGAAATGTGCATTTTCTTTACAGGACATAATTTAAAGCATCACTTACAATAAAATTTTAGTACATACAATATTAGTCTGCAAAACCCTGTGTTTGACATAATAAAAGAGATGTTTTGCACTGCTGTTTAAAACTTTCACATTACAGAACATTTTCCACTTTCCAACTCTATAAATAGCCTACTACAGCGGTGACTTAAAGGGGAGAAATCAAGCTTGATGCAAAGGTTGGAGTCTCTGAAGTCTACAAGTCTGCTTTCTGTACCTCAAGATTCGCTCTGGAATGTCACATGACGTCATGTATTTGGGATCGGGTTTCCTCTGGCTACAAGATCCGGTCCAAGAAATGATCCGCGACACCAGCTGAATGCGTTTTCCTAAATCATATTTTGTTACAGTCTGTATTCTTTCTATCACAACTGTTCACATTTTAACACTATCGTCCTTCCTATCCAGGAAACATTAAACAACATTTAAATGCTCCCATCGAAAGTCCAACTCGTTGAGATTCGATTCAACAAAACGATTCAGCGATTCTTTCGGTCGTGACATAATTTTGTCATCACGTGACGCTTCTGCTTCCCTGTGCGATGAAAAAAAACGTTGATACAATTAACCTGTAAACAATTCCAATACGTTTTACTTGTAATACACATCTTCTCTGTCTGTGTGTGTGTGTTTGTATATCAAACATGTCTCTTATTAAAGTAGCCTAACTTTCGTCCCACCAGTCAAAGTATGATTCAAACACGGTACTGTCAGCTCTATATTTTAACATGCGAAATAGATGTTTTCCGGGTCCAATGAGTTAGTAAGTTTTTATAAAGAAAATGCAAGGACTGATTCAGTCCTATTAAAGAACGAATCGTTTAGACCCTTTTTGTGAACCGGTTCAATTGAATCATTTACACGATTCAAATCAATAAGAACGCTATTCCACAATGCAAGTTCACACAGTTTTCTATTAGAACGCTTCTCTGAAGTCAAGTGTATGTTATTATAATGGCAATGCAGAGGAAACTGGATTTTATCTATACAATATACAACATACGTCATGCTCATTTCAATGATGTAACAATCCAGCCATTACGAAAGTATATTATTCGTGTGACGCTTAAGTAAACAACTTGTTGCTGGGAATTGACGTGTCATTTTCCAAATGTCTTTGGCGAATAATTATGTTATAAAAGCCTCCTCTGTTAATTCTCACCTGAGCATTACAGGTGTTATTGAATTTGATAAAGCAGCGTTAATGATGATTACGAATGACTTTTTTCCTGCATAAAAAGCACACAGGATGCACATAACCTAACAACTGAAGCATTCACTAGTTAACATACAGCTGTCAAAGTAGACACAAATAAAAGTAAAGTAAATCAGCTCACGCAAAAGTTTTAAGAGTTTAACGCACTAAGTTTCGTTTAGGTTTCGTTTCGTTTTCCATTCAATTCAATACTTCCCTTTCCCATCACAGAGTCACCGGCTCGCGCTTTTCTGCAACTTGAAACTTTGCGAAACAGTGTCTCAGAGCGCTTCGGAAAATTACATTAGCCTACAGCGTTAATATTTTGAACAAAACTCGTCTACTTACCTCGGATTCAGTAAATCTTGCTTATTAACACGTTAGTCCCTAAATGCTCGTAACAGAAAGCATGTCATTCAATTGCTGCGAAGTCCACGGTGGACCAGACCAGACCAGTGTGGAATTCCGCAATGTCAAATATGTGGAAGTGCACACGGGGGGGGGGGGGGGGGGGGTAGAAGTTTACCG